AAATGTTCTGCCACACAGACATGGGTAGATTGAGGTTATCGCCCCACCGTCATGAATGCTGGTCAGATACACCACCCTCCCTCCTTTTGTGATGTTAGGCTCTCTTACGTTTAATGGTTAATTGTAAATAATGGTCTCTAGTCTACTCTCAATTTTTTTTGTACACCTTATCGGAATTAATATTCTCTACTAGCTCCAACATTACAAGCAATCCAGACAACTTTGCCAGATAATATATCCACATAGCATATCACACTGATTTTAAGTAAACGAATGGTATAATTTGTAAGATGAGTCAATTAATAGGTAGTATGGTAATAGGAAGGACAGGGAGCTGGAACGAGGAGAAAGTGAAAAAAGGAGTTGAAATAATGTTAAAAATTAATGAGTAAAGCGATAAGTTGGTAAGCAGGCAAGGTGTTTGCATGTTAATGAATTGGGGAAATAAAAATTTGTTAAACTGTTAATACTTAAATAAGAAGATACTCACAATGATACACGGTGTTTGAGTTCCTTGTAATTGACAGTAGTTGATCAGCATCTACAGGCTTTTCAATTTGTCTGTCTACTAGAAATAAAAACTAAAACTGCTTTGAAGATATGAAAATAATAATCGGAATTTAAATTCAGAGAAAAGTCACGGGTAACACTTCGAAGGCGTAACCTATTACTGTTAGTAGGAGCAGGGGGATTCGTCTATCATTTCATGATACATGTATGGGTGGTAATGAGAACACAATGTGTTCATAGTCTATAATTCGTTTCCGAGGTTCATCTAAATATTTGGTGGACCATAAAAGAGTGCCTGGGGACTTTGTGTGAGTTCCGGGAATAGTCGGTATATCTCTTTAGAGTCTAGCAACAGCATGACTAGTTTCTTGAACTTAGTGATTGTGTCACAAATACGGATAGTAATTGGTAACCTGTTCCACAGTAGACTGTATCGTATTACAAAGAAATTACAACGCAATAATTTCTTGTGTTTTGCCGTTAATAGTGTATATGCGTTGTTTCTAAGTCTGTAAGCAGTGTCGTGGTTCATAGTTGGGCGGTATTTTACGAACGAAAGACCATTTATTAGTTTATAGAGGAGCATTAGGTTGTTTTTGAGACGACGGCGCCATAGAGGTTCTAGGGAAAGATGCTTGCATCTTTCTGTGTAGTCGAGGTTATGGCTCAATCCGAGCAGTCGCCGGGTGAAGCTTCTTTGTACATTTTCTACTCGCATTTTGTCCATGATATCCATGTTTGAAAATATGAGTGAACAATATTCAAGTGTGGGCCTTATACAGATTTTGAAGAGAGTAAGCTTAGCCTCACTTGTGAAGAAGTTCTTGTTTATAAACCCAATTAGTCGTCTAGATTTAGAGATAATATTTGAGGCATGTTCTTCGAATTTTAGGCTTTTAGAGTAACTAGTACCAATGTCACGCGCTGATATGAGTGTCTGAACTCTACATTTTTGTAAGTAGAGTGGTGTATCAAGGTGACGCTTGCTAAAATGCATTATGCCACATTTGTTGTGGTTAAACGGCAGTTGCCATGTCTCGCTCCAGGTACTTAAGTTATCAAGATCACTCTGAATCTTAGCTATATTTTCGTCCAGATCTTCAGGCTTATAGCTGTATACTATTTTCAGATCGTCAGCATATAAGTATGCTTTTCCAAATTTAATAGTATTACATATGTCATTTATGTACATTAGAAACAAGAGTGGACCTAAGACACTTCCCTGGATAACCCCACTGGTTATTGGTCTTGGTGATGAAAGACAGTCGTTGTACTTTATCATTTGTTGTCGCCCATTTAGAAACGAAGCTAACCATGAGTGTAGTGGGTTGGTGATTCCAAATGACTTCAGTTTAAGTAGAAGCCTTTTGTGTGGGACTTTATCAAAAGCCTTTTTAAAATCAAAGAAAAGGACTGATACCAGAAGCCCTTTGTCTTGTTCATTCGTGATATCGTTGAAATAATCTAAAAGACATGTATCACACGACCTGGACCTCAAGAACCTATACTGTGAGGTCGATATCAGATTGTTACTAAGTAGATGTTGTAGTAACTCTGCCTTAACTATTTTCTCCATGACCCGAGATACTACCGAAGTTATGTTTATAGGTCGGTAATTTTCAACGTTCGCTGTAGGCCCAGATTTTATTGTGGGGATGATATGTGTAGTCTTCCAGTTATTAGGGTAACACTCTGTGGAGAGAGATATAGTAAATAGTTTGAGAAGAATAGCACTCAGATCATTGCTACCATTTTTTAGCATGCTGGCAGGGATGCCATCTGGTCCTTCAATGTAAGAGTGCTTCAGTGTAGTAATCGCCTTAGAAATGTTCTGTACACTAAATTCAACACTGGCGATTTCACAGGAAGGAGTTTGGGTCAGGTGTGATTCATTTATTGAGTTTTCGTTTGTTAATGTGGCACAAAAATGTTCGCTAAACAACTCTGCGATACTTTTAGGGTCGTCATACACTTGATTGTCTTTAATAAATATGCTCCCTCCTTTCACTTTGGAGCATTTGAGTTTATTCCGAAGGAGTTTTATAAGTTCAGAGGATTGATTGTTCAGCTGAACAGCACTCTTTTCCTGTGCGATTGCCTTTTTAGTACGTGTTATTTCTGCCTCGACACATTTCAGTCATCGTTACTAGTGAGGAGAAGTCATTACAGTTATGAAATCTGGAATCATGTCTTCGAAGACGTTTTCGTATATGACCTGGCATAAATAAGTCCTTAGGAATTCTGGGTCTCCAGGATTCTAAAGGTGCAAGTTTGTTGAATATGCTATTTGTATTGTGATAAAATACATTTATTAGTTCATCAGTATTGTTTGCAGTAAAGTAGTTTGTCCAGTCAATGCTTCTGAGGCAGTTACTGAAGTTTGACCAATCAATCCTACGAAAGTCCCTACGAAGTGTAGTGGATTTATACTTTATAGTTGTAGCTCCTATATCAAGGCTGCATATGACCATATTATGATCGCTACCTGGGAACTTTTTTCCAACATAAACAGTATGAGGAATGAGATTGCTGGTGAAAACCAAATCCAATGTATTTTGATTTCTGGTTGTGCCATTAACATGTTGAGTGCACTCTCCAAGCTCTAAGCATTCAATAAATGATTCGAATCGTTTAGGTGCTTTGATTGGGAACCAAGTGATTTCAGGCATGTTGAAGTCCCCACAAATAGCCTTGCTTGTGAACGGTAGGGATGAAACAAATGTGAATACTTCTGACAATAATGCTAGATCTCCTGTTGGTACATGAGGCTGTCGGTAGACACAGCCGAACAGTAAGGAAACGGCATTTGACGGTTTCAGAACGATCCACACAGAGTCTGCAATCTATTTAGTTCAGATATATCACATAAGATCGAGTTTAGGCTAGAGTGGGCATATATAAGGCATCCTCCACCTCTTCCTTGTAACCTATCACTTCGAAACAGATCATAGTTTTCAAGAGATATAGTAAGATCAGAAATATTACCAGAGGTCCATGCCTCAGTTATCATTATAAGTGATGGTTGGTAGATAGTAGCAAACATGACTAGATCTGTCCTTTAATTACAGATTGAACGAGCATTAATAAGACATATATAAAACAGATGTCCCGCTAAGCTAAAATAATTTAGGGTATCTTGAGTAAAGGAGTTACTATGACCTGCGTGAGTGTGGTATCAGGAGTAAGGCGGAAAAGTTGTCTAGTGTTGCCTATCGCCGCTGCCTTTTCCATCGCTTTTGCTTACGCCACCCACCACTGTTCACGGTCGTTACGTAGGCTTTTTATGAGTCTGTGCCTAAGCTGACTACGCTCTTCATCATGTTGAGTCAGGTGGGATGCGTTTTCGAGCATCCATCAGTTGGGTGGATGCGACTGAGATCCACTGCTTCATCCTAGCCTTGTGGTTTACCTTGCTAGCAGATACCATTGCTGTTTGCACAGCCTTCTTGATATGATTCCACCTTACCGCTAATGATACCTGTCTTTATTCTAAATGCATATGATATAAAACAAAGTATTAGACATTTCTACTAGTTTACATGTTGTGCCTAGCCATGGATGTGTTTAGCGACCAATTGTAATACATATTCGCATGTTGTTCCGAAATCAGGTGCCATATACGTTTGATATGTACATATGAATCGTTCTGAATTATGAGGTAGATGGAGTATGGCTAACAGTGAGTGTCAGGAACTGTGTTTCACACTACCGGGATGTATCTGCTCTTCATGTTGATCTTCACATTAGGATTCAAACCCAATACCTCGTGCTTCGAGCCCCCAACGCACTATTCACTGAGATACTGAGCGCAGGTATAATGTTTAGATCATTAGTGTAGGTTGGAATTATAATGTTGTTGATATTCTTGACTGAATTCTGATCAACCTTTGCCGACATTTATTCATACTGTAAGGACTACATGAATTGCCGAGAAATGTGATGCCCTATCAAAATGTGAAACTAAATTTAAAGCGTTCCTAAAATAATGAATATGGGCTTTCAAAACGCTACTCCGATAGGAAACTGATACATAAAACCTGAATCAACGACAAATAAATAAGAAATATGGAAATATTGACAACATAAACAATAAACAGGTAGGAAATACTAGCTAGTTATCGATGTGAAGAGAATGCTCAATCATAATATAGAAAATATTCAACCACATCTTTACATCAAATTGCTCTGATATCGTTTTAAACCAACCTTTCGACGGATTACTGAGAAGTAACACCAAAATAATAAGGGTTAATGTCAGTACATATGAAATGGTCGTATCAGGTCGAATTAAGCATAAATCTCAATTCATGAATTCCGATCTATCTTCTCGACTCTTCTGACACTCCAGCCCTAGCATTCAAATTATGGGGCTAGAAAGAGTATCATATGTAAGGCTATGTGCCATTTGGCGCCATGATTGTCACTATTTACCTAAGAAAGTTAACTTCCATATCCAAGTAAAATATGTGATGAATAGGGTTAGTCCTTACCGCGAAGCACATGCTAGTTTAACTCTCGGGGACTCATTGATCATCCTGTAAAACAATAAATACATTTTATGGAATTCCTACCTTAATATTGCTTGCGCATCCGAGTACACAATAACTCGTCTTTCTGTAGCATCGTACACGCTGTTATTTCTGATAAATCGCTAGACTTGAAGAAATATCCGAGCCTTACTTTCTTGTGAAAGGAGGAGAAACATGTGTGTCACACCACAGTGGCCACAGGGTGAAATCTAGAATTTAGGTTAGTTTTATAATTTTCCCTACCGAGATCGAACACGATAAGTCTAGGAAGCAGTGAGAACATATCTAGGAAATTCTCCGATACCATCTAAGCTGGTTACTCTAAGCAGATTTTAAAAGCTCCGTCTAAAACTTACAATAACTTTATTCAAAATGTTTCAGATGGTTGTTGGCGGGAAAGTGTCCTTAGTTTACCGAGATTTCCTATTTGATATTACTGGATAACTGTTATTGCCAAGTAGTAACCTTTGAAGGGAAGAGGGAGTAAGTTCAGTATTTCAGAAGCCTGTAAGCACATATGGTCGACCACTAAGTAATACTCGCAATCAGACTTGGATTGAGTACACAAAAACAAATCGACCCTGGGGAATCAAAAATCCACCTTTTCAATATCCAATATCTTTTCCACGAGCTAGTGTAAACCACTTGATTTCTTTGCGCTCGATTCTTGTTCTTTCGATACGGTTACAGGTGTTTGGTAGAATACAATGGATAGGGTTCTAGCCACTCGACTGTCTAATTCTGGTCATTTGGCAGTTGTTCGTAAGTTTGTATAACCAGTGATTGGAATGAATACGTTTTTTTCAGGACAACGGAGTTTCTGGATAATAGCAGCTATCACACTACTCGACCAGAGATCAGTTAGTGGCAGTGTGGAGTATAATAAGGAGTAAACTCTAATGCTAATGAGATTTCAAAACTAAGTTATTAAAAAAGATAATTTAGTTTAATTATTGGTAGTGAAGATTGTGCGAGAGGAAGCAGTGATAATAAGCGACGTGCAATAAGTTACTGACCTGAGGAGATGGCAATAATAACGACTAGCAAGTCTCAAGGCATGCAACAGGCACAGCTGGTCCTTGTGTGAGATGATAATCCGTATGTTAGTGCGTGTTTATCAAGTCTCTTCTTAAAGCTGTCCACTGAAGGGGCTGTTGTCACCCTAGCAGGGAGAGCATTTCAAATGTCAGCGACTCTTATTGAGCGAACCTGAGTTTTCTCTCTCTGATGCGCAACTTTTCGGGGATCGCCTCTAGGGCATCATCTGCATAGATCAGTGTCCAACAGATCATTAATAAATATCAGGAAGATGAGTGGACCTAAGATGGTCCCTCGTGAAGCTGCAGATGTTGAGACTCACCAACTCGCATGCATTCTGTTTACCTCAAGGCAGTTTCGGAGCCAAGATAGAAATGGATTGGTGAAGCCACTCTTCGCAACCCTCAATTTAGAGCTTGTGGAATGCCTCGTCGAAAGCTTTAGCAAAGTCAAGGAATACCATATGAACCGGTACCGTTTTTGTCTCCGCAGGTTTTCTAGCTGTCCCATGCTATGAGATGATTGGATGCGCATGACCTGCCTTACTGAAACCCGTACTGAGCTTCATGTGGGATGTTGTTCTTATCAGTGTGTTAACCTATCTATTCATTTACCGGTCCTTCAATTAGCTAAGGTAGTATTGGTAGTAATGTGACTGACATGTAGCAGGCCGAATCCTCCCGATCTCCTCCTTCTCAGATTACAGAGAGAGTAGCTTCTTTCTGTTCTGGTGAAAGTTGATGTGACTCTAGTGTCTTATAGTCAATTCACTTTTACGAGGAGAAATTTAATTCGTTAAATAGCAATATTCATTTTTATAATCAATTGTACCAGCGTACATTATATCTAATATTTGTAACTCGCGTGACTCGAACATCTATATTCTCAAGAATATAGAACTCACGGCGCGCGAACTCTGAAAGTGGTAACATTTTTTCACGTGGTATAGTGTGTTTCGGAAATTTATCATTCGTAGGGTATTATACTGATTTAGTAGAATTTATCTATTGTAACTGGTGCACTTTGCTTCTAGAAAGCAAACCTTCTAAGTTTTCAATCAGCTAATACATACTTGTCGTTTGATAAAGTTTTTAACTTCTGAATACACTAGTTTAAGCCTACTTATTGACTGACAGTGATTCTTACACTTCATTAATGAACCTCTTATCTTTAAAATCTATCTCTTCCGCCAATGATTTTTAGTATCAACACAGTTAATACCCAATAAGTTTTACCTTTATATATTTGAGTTAACTAAATAAATTCCAGTAATTTACTTAACATGTCCCCCCTAACTCCTCATACCACACTCACACAGGTCATAGTAACTCATTTACTCAAGATACCCTAAACTATTTTAGATCAGCGGAACATTTGTTTAATATACGTCTTATTAATGCTCGTTCAATCTGAAACAAAAAGACAGATCTAGTCATGTTTGCTACTACCTGCCTGTTACGGGAGAAACGAAGACATTTTGCTGATTAAAACCTTCATGTATAAATATAATTAATTTCACTGTTTTTGGGTACATTTGTTTTACTTAACTTGTGAACTTGTTTGAATTATTATTTGCGGACATTTTGGACTCCCGTTTCTCTTTGTTGTTCGTTTGCAGTTTTTTGCTCCAAGAGCTAATAAATTAGAAGAACGACATTGGTCGTCTATTTGTAATACAGTATTTTGGTCGAATTTGTGATTTGGAATAAACTTTGGTATCTACTTTGGAGTTTCGTTCTTGGTTTAGAAATTTGGGACCGTGAATTACAAATAGTCGACAACCGTGCTTCGTAAGATCAACGAGCAAAAAACTGGACGTAACAAAAGTTCTTCTAATTTATATTTGTCATAAACTGGATTCTTTTGGTCGTTTGGCTCCAAAAGTTCTTCTAATTTAATTTCGTCATATATTGGATTTCTGGTCGTTTGGCAAAGAGGTTCTTCAATTCAAATTTTGGTCGTTGGAAACTTTTGGAAATTTGGGTCCAAAAGTTCTTCTAACTTTTAATTTGGTCGTTGGATACTTTGGACAATTCAGTTTTGGTTCTTTGGTTATCTTTTGGATACTTTTGGACATTTTGTTATTATTGGCGAATACGTTTGGAATAATTTCATATTTGCTTGGTAATCGATTTCTAACAAAAGCATCCAATGGAAACTAGAAGCAAAAGGCTGAAGGAGCAGGACGAAATGGATGGTAAATATTCTAAAGCTGTTTGTGGTATGTCTGATGTTAATGATGATAAACTTGATGATATTAGTGTTAATAGTAAGTCTTCATCTCAGTTTAGTACTTCTAGATTTAAGTTAGATAAGGCATTAATTAAGAAGAAGAATTTGGAAAAGAGACTTGAGTTAGAAAAGCAGCTTAAAATGTTAGAGCTTCAAGAGGAAGTTGATATGGCTGAATTAGAATGTAAGCTCATAGAAAACGATAACCAACTGTCAGTAGACAAAGCTGAGATAAATTCTAAGGTCGAAAGGTATTTGGATTGTGATATTGAGCGTAATAAGGTAATTAACGCCTCAAAATGCGGTTGTATTGATGAATTAAAGGACACGTTACGTGCTACGGTTAATAATACAGTTTTGCCTAAAATCGATATGATGTTTTTTGACGGACAACCTAGCCAGTACCACCGTTTTATTAGTCAGTTTACAAGCATTATAGAGAGTAAACTGTCTGACAAGGGCCAGTTGTTGTCATATTTGTCATACTATTGTAAAGGAAAAGCAAAAAATGCGATTGAAGGCTGTATTATTATGGATCCACAAGCAGGATATAAGAGAGCTAAGGCCATTTTAAAACAGCTCTTTGGACAGTCGCATGTAATAGCCCGAGAAACCTTAGAGGATTTATTTAGAACTGGGAATGTAGATTTTAATGATTCTGAATTATTGACGAACTTGGCTATTAAAATGCAGAATGCTGCTTTAACCTTAGAACAGCTAAATTGCACAACGGAACTTAATTCCATGGTTACTTTAGAACGAATAGTCAGGCTCTTACCTCGTCGAATGCAAGCCCAGTGAGCAGAGCTAGGAATCAAGTGGGACGAAGAGGAGAGAGAGCCTAATTTTAACGAATTGACGGAATTTATTATGTCTCATGCTAAGATAGCTAGTAGTAGGTTTGGAAGATTAGCTTATCGGGCTAAAACAGAACATAATACGGAAGCTACTAGTGGTCTGCGTGTGGGACATGAGGATTTTTCGTTTCTACCTAAAGCACGCTCAGAAGATAAGAGAGTTGTCAATTATATCACGAAAGCATACGCTGATGAAGGACGAGTATGTGACCGTAACGATGTAAAACCTCTTGATGCGTGTCCTAGCAAGAAGCCGGTTGGTGTAACAGATAAGATGGCTTTTCTAAGTATGGAAAAGAAAGAAAAGGGTGAAAAGTGTAGGCATCAAGATGGATCCGAAGTGTGTGATGGTAAAAGCCTCTTAACTGCTCGAACATCAAGGAACGGTTATTTGGATTCGAGCAAACAGAGGTTAGTGAATAAGAACAAAGACGAAACAGGTTTGACTGTATGGAATAAAGCTTATGTTCGGAACCTTTCACGTAACGTAAATTATTTAACAGGACCTAGAGTTGATCCTAGGACAACAAGTGTATATAGTGACACAGCACTTCATGTTGCTGAGCAATCAGGATGTCTGCAGGCTACTATATCTAGTTCTATGGAGCATCATGATATTGAAGCGGAAGATAATAGCTGCTTAGCGCGTCCTGCTGATGTTTGTTTACGGTCAACGGATGGACGGTCGTATACTAGTCGAAGTAGTCATATCGACATTGATAGTGTTAGTGAAAGTGGTAGCGTAGCTTTGAAGCCTGCATGCCAACTATCTCGCAACTCGTCATTAACTGTGAATAGTCGGAACATCATTGTCGACAACAATAACGTCAAGGTGGAGGTGAAACCCCATGTATCTATTAATAGTGTAATTGATGTGAATAATAAACGAGATGGTAACGATAGTGGAATCATTATAGGTAGTGCTGTTTCGTCGGTTGACGCTGCTAATGTAGCTTCTTTGAGTACTTCGAATCAAGACGAAATTGGATGTTTGAGTGTGGAGAATGTAGGCGTCGGTGTCAATAGCGTCAGCCACAGTAATGGCACTACTAGGAAGGCTAACATTCAGTGCCTTAGGTGCGATGAGGAGTCACCTAGGTTTCATGGACATGCTGTTGTGTTGAATATGCAGCATGAGGAATCGAGCACGGAATTGTCCACCTGTCGCATTCCACCATCATTGACTCGTACTACAGGTATCGGGATGAGCACTACCAACAGTGATAAGATAGAAGAGGTTAAGAGCATTCCTGGTAATGAAAGTATTGTTGATCGAGTAAAGTTGGATACTGTGTATGAGTCGACTGGTTATCATGAGAAGTGTATTGCTACTTGTACAGATGCGACTACCAATGATAATAGCATTGGTAGTACGGCGGGTAATAGTGATCTATGGAAGTTAAAGGACGCTCATCGTCGTCGAAATGATCGTACGTTACGCTTGCATACTGCCACCCAAGCTAAGAAGCATAAGAAACAACATGATGCTACTAATATTAAGAAGTGTAAACTTCGTTCTCTTTCGGATGCTATGACTAGCAATAGAAGTAGTAGTCATCAGAACCTTAGTAGTGACAGTGATAATAAGGAGATAGAAAGTGTCAGCAGTCCACTTATAGTGACTAGTCTATCAACTTCATCGAATGAGCCTCCTAGTGTTTCGACGTCATTGGACCTCGTCACGAATGTTAAGTTGATCGAAGATGCACAAGGTTGTGCAACTGTAACTGTTCCTATTCCGGTTGACTGTCAGTCGAGTGATGATGAGCAGGAAGTGTCCAATGGTAACAGCCAGTCTACAGTGTTGCCTGATAACGATGCTATTGACGTGCTTATGTCTTGTGTCTCTGAAACGGAACATGGAGAACAACAAGTGAGTTTATCGGTTATGGATTGTGACACTAATGCTGTCTACGGATGCTAGTGTAGCCAGAAACGACGCTACTTGTCTGACACAACGGAATCATAATGACGATGATAATAATCTGGATGTCACTGATGTGACAAATGATTTGTCGACGTTGACGAATGCTGATCAAACCTCTGTACCAGGAGATGGAGAGTTGAATATTGTTCCAATGTTATGCCACCTAGAGTCTTCGGGAGACGAGGAAACGTCAAAATCGGAGATCCTGCCCTTGCATACTATCTATGGGTCAAGAACTTCTGTTGATAAGTCAGCATCACGGGCTTCATCGTATCTGCTGTTTGGAGCAATGGGTGGTGGATTAACGACTCATCCCCATGAGGTGGAAAGTAAATCTCTAAGAGCATATGACCAGCTTTACGGCGTGTTGCACATGTTCGTGTGGGTTAATTGGATAAGGTTTATACTACCGTTAGGTCATGCTACGATAGATAGGGGAATCAAGGACCTGATGGGAATGTACAGGTTCATAGTTTGATAGGTCATATCCATGTTGGAGGGCGGGTAGGCGTACTGCTGTAAGTCCTACTCGTTCTTCCGGTGTGGATTAGGGGATGAGAATGAACCGTAAATTGAAGTGTTAGAAAGGGCTTGTTTTGCTTAGAGGGATATTGTGGGCCGGTGTAGAATTTATATTGAATGTTTGTTGTTGATTGCTTGTGATGCACATACTTGGATTGTTGTTATATATTTTTGTCGGTGAAAAGAACCAAGGTTCTTTTGGTCGGGAGTGTTACGGGAGAAACGAAGACATTTTGCTGATCAAAACCTTCATGTATAAATATCATTAATTTCACTGTTTTTGGGTACATTTGTTTTACTTAACTTGTGAACTTGTTTGAATTATTATTTGCGGACATTTTGGACTCCCGTTTCTCTTTGTTGTTCGTTTGCAGTTTTTTGCTCCAAGAGCTAATAAATTAGAAGGTAATTGTAATTATTATAATTATTGTTGTTAGAACGACATTGGTCGTCTATTTGTAATACAGTATTTTGGTCGAATTTGTGATTTGGAATAAACTTTGGTATCTACTTTGGAGTTTCGTTCTTGGTTTAGAAATTTGGGACCGTGAATTACAAATAGTCGACAACCGTGCTTCGTAAGATCAACGAGCAAAAAACTGGACGTAACACTGCCAACCATCACTTATAACGATAACTGAGGCATGGACCTGTAGTAATATTTCCGATCTTACTATATCTCTTGAAAACTATGATCTATTTTGAAGTGATAGGTGAAAAGGAAGAGGTGGAGGATGCCTCATATAGCCCACTCTACCCTAAACTCATTCTTATGTGATATATCGGAATTAAACAGATTGCCAGATTCTGGGTGGATCGTTGTGAAACCCTCAAATGCAGTTTCCTTACTGCTCGTGAACTCACTCGCACCCTGCTTTCATATTAATAGCTCTGCATACACTTTAAACACAATGAACTCAGTGCTGCGTCTTATTTAGTTATTTTTACACTCCCAAGTAGCACTAATTTTTCTAGTTGAATATAAATCTCTTTAGTTTTTATTTGAAATAGACAGGTTACTCTACTAACTGGGTCGTTCGACACTGTTCAACTGTAAACTGGTTGATTAGAATGCACTCTACTCTCCTGGGCGCAACCTTATCAACACTTACAACTGTGTGAGTTTCACATTGCCTATTATCAATTATACTGTTCTCACTTACATGCTATTGACTTACCTTGGCCCCTTAGTGTTATCTATTGCTCCGCTTTTAACCGCGATACTCTTTATATCTCCTGCTTAGCTAGTTAAGTACATCTTCCCCTCTACATTCTAAATGCTTATATCTTGTTTGAAAATTCTTACTATTTCTCCATAACTGTTAACTGTATAGCATTGATGCCTAACCAATAGTTCATAAGTTGTAATAGCCAGACGAGTTTGTGAAAGGAACTTGCAGAAATAGTGTTTCTCAACAGGATGCGAGACATAGAACACCAAGTAGAACTCAATAGCTTCTTTTAAACATTTAACATGAGCCTAACAACACAAAAGGAGGGAGGGTGGAGTTACTGACCAGCAAACATTGATGGTATGGGCGATAACTTCAAACAACCCATGTTTGTGGGGCAGAACATTTTGTTTGCTTTCGGCTCTTTAGATTGATGAGACGACTAATCAGTAACACTGAGGTTGCTCTTATACGCTTGCTACTTCTGTGGTTCATGTTTCCAAAACTATGCTGAGGTCGCTATTCTGTCGAGACACCTGCAACATTCTTACTCAGGCGCTTACAGTATGACTTAGAGGTTGGCATTCAATAATAAAGAAAAAAAAACAGTTAGACAGTGCGAGATTTTATTCGTCAAATATTTATTTTTACAAACTCTACTCTTTTAACTAGAATTTCGATTTCAACGTACATAAATCCAGCTTCTTACTTCGACTTATCTTCTATCCACCTGACACTGCACAACTCTCCCTTCTTTTTGCTGTACTCCTTTATCTGTGCGTTATATTCTTATATTCCCATAATTTACTTTAATTTAAGTGGTCAGTATGAATGTTATCTTGACTTACTACTGTATTGACTACTTCAACATGACAGGTTAAGTAGTGCTTTGGTTATATATATACACTTGCCACACTGCTGCCTTTTCCTCTCTCTCTTCTCCTTTTCAGAACCTCATTCACGGTGGGAAATCCTTGGCAACTCTAGGGAACATGCACCCTATGTACATGACTGTCTGGATCACAGCTCGTATCAAGCGCGTTCCATATGACCTTTCCCAACAAATTCACTATTGATCTCGGCCAATCGCCAATAGAACCTATTGTGCACCTTCCTCATTTGTACTCTAATATTGAAAATGTGGCTGTATAATACTGTTTCTGTCAGTGATATGGTGTAAATATGCAATCAGAAACTGACTCTTATACTTAATTTAACTGCTATAACTTTTACAGTAATTGTAAAAGCATTTGTTACAATTTGATCTAGCCTGTAAACTGGCGTGACTCTTGTAACTTAGTTATTTGAGAATAAATTATTATTATTATTATTATTATTATTACTGTGCGGCTGTGTCTACCGTCAGCCTGATGCACCAACAGGAGATCTAGGATTATTGTCAGTAATTGTGAAAGCATTTGTGACAATTTGATCTAGCCTGTAAACTGGCGTGACTCTTGTAACGTAGTTATTTGAGAATAAATTATTATTATTATTATAGAAGTATTCACGTTTCTTTCATCCCTACCGTTTACAAGCAAGGCTATTTGTGGCGACTTCAGCATGCCTGAAATCTCTTGGTTCCCAATCAAAGCACTTAGACGATTCGAATCATTCATTGAATGCTTCGAGCTTGGAGAGTGCACTCAACGTGTCAACGGCCCAACCACAAATGAAAATACATTGGATTTAGTTTTCACCAGCAATCTCATTCCTCACACTGTATATGTTGGAAAAACGTTCCCAGGTAGCGATCATAATATGGTCATATGCAGCCTTGATATAGGAGCTACAACTATAAAATGTAAATCCACTACACTTCATAGGGACTTTCGTAGGATTGATTGGTCAAACTTCCGAAATTGCCTCAGAAGCATTGATTCGACTAACTACTTTACCGCACACAATATCGACGAACTAATGAATGTATTTTATCACAACACAAATAGCATTTTCAACAAATTTGCACCCTTAGGATCCTGGAGACCCAGAATTCCTAAGGACTTATATATTCCAGGTCATATACGAAAACGTCTTCGAAGACATACTCCCAGATTTCATAACTGCAATGATTTCTCCCCATTAGTAACGATGAGTGAAATATGTGTCGAAGCAGAAATAACACGTACTAAAAAGGCAATCGCACAGGAAATGCATGTTGTTCAACTGAACAATCAATCCTCTGAACTCATAAAACTCCTTCGGA